GTGAAGTTGCAACTTTAAATTGTAGAATTGAGGTTCACTTAACAAATACATCGTGAAAGGTTGTTTTGAAATTTGAAACTCTCTAATTGATCATCTCAACTTCGAGATATATATATTTTTTGTTTTTTTTGTTTTTTTGTTTAGTCTAAAAGTAGCGCACTTTACAATAGATTTTGTAAGGTTCATTTTCAATATTTTTGTGTATTTATAAATCTACTTTATTTGAACCATTTTTGAAGTCTAAACTTTTATAATAAGAACTAAAAATGGATTCTCAATAAGATCATTTATCTTTAGTACAAGGTAGTCATAATTAATCTTGATCATTGGATGTGAAATTAGATGGCTGCATTTATTTCATTGACCATTGGATGTGAAATTAGATGGCTGCATTTATTTCATTGACCAAGCATAAACTTCAAAAGAAATTTTCTCAAACTTTATGATTCACACAAGCTTTCAGATTTCACATCAAATGGTTGTATAGAATTGTGACCACTTTCTATAAAAGGTAAATGGTATACAATCCCATAAATTTTTATGCCAAAATTACATATATGATAAAATTTAATGGTGCTGATTGTTTGAAGTTGAAACCTTATGGAAACCAATATATATATATATATCAAGAGACCACGCGAGTGACTATAATCTACTCGGTCATATGGACATTGTATATGTTTTATATGAGATAGTAGAACATGTGTCTTCTACGGGGAGTGCATGGGTTTGAGAGGCAAGGTTGTGCATGAAAGTGGGGATGCTTATGGCTCGGTCCAAGGAGCCGGTCATTTGGCGGTGGTGGTGCTCGGTGTGTCGGAGCCGTTGAGAGAGGGTGTTGAAGTGGCTTGAGAGGTGTGTTTGTTGTTGGCAAAGGTGGACAAGCACAAGGATCGGGATTTCCTTGCCTTGGCATGCTCGACCTGGGTGTGGAGCCCAAGTGCACCCACTTGTAGGCTTGACAGTCTGGTGGGTTGGTGTCATGTTGAATTGCAGCATTGTTGACAACCGATGGTTGATGGTGCATGCCCCAACTGAACAGTATGGTACATGTACCATAGCTTTCAAATTCTTTTCTATTTTTCAAATAGCTTTTGTTCAGAGTTGGAGATTTAAAATGTGAGTTTCATGTTTTAATCGCAACCTTGTCCTCAATAATCTTCCATCCATCTTTTTTAAAAGGGAAAAGTTTTTATGAGTTACTTGTAGATTGTAGAAGTAAGGTTACAACAATCTATGCCCCTATTTTAATTGGACGATTTAGATATGATACTATCTTATATAGCGTGCTATTTTGAAGCTGTTATAAAAAACCCATCAAATCTATATAGTCTAACTAAAATCGATAGTGTGGAGCATCCAGCCTTTCTTCTATGGGCAAGGTCGCAGGCGTATTTGAATGCATTTCTGAATATTGCCTATTTGACTAGGAGCCGAGTCTAATCAAGGAACCTTGGAGTCGCTCCAATTATCCAAGATTTTCATTTTTTTTTTTTAATCTCTTGTTAATTGCATCCTGGTTGGCTTGGGAATCACACTGTTGGACCGAGCAAATTAGAAACGAGCCCCTCATGATCCGGGGGCGGATTCCAATTTTCAGATCACTACATGGAAGAATCATAACTAGCACGTTTGATATATATATATTTTTTTCACAAGTTTTGATTTCTATTTTTTTTAAAAAAAGACACATTAAATTTTACTATGTTTAGGTTTTGTGGGATCGGGAAGAAGCGGCTCTGCGTGTTTATGGCTGAATGTTGGCATCACCCATAATGGTAGGCAAAGGAATGGCTCACTCTCACTTTCTCCCCCTAAAACAATATGCATGCACACAATTTTCTCTATCAAGGAATCTTCTCTCTCTCTCTCAAAAACACAATTACTTTTTACTAGCACCGTTTTTACTGGTGCCGTTCATACTCTCTATTGTATTTTTATTTACACGTACACATTCTATCATTTAATTCGTGTAGTTGACCTCGAATAGTTGAAAAAATGCTCTGATGATGATAATTCTATTATTCGTGTACAGACTTGCTCTCGCTCTCTACAGATTTGACATGAAGAATACAGTAGTAGAGATAGGATCTCTCTCTGTCTACAGGTATGGCACGAAGAATACAGTGAGATGAGGATGCTGACAATCAAATTTGCATGCCATGTTTATTCTTACTCTTGATGTTGCAAGGTTCTCCTTCTTTTGGCCTTGCCCTCTTGTTGTATTGGCTCTTTGCAATCACCCTATGGCTGTTAATTCATTTATGCATTTATATGTTTCTACAGGGGATGAAGCTGGTTGAGATGTGTGGAGAACTGCTTGGGTTATCCTTTGATCTATTTTATTTCTTGCCTTTATCTTCTCTGCACATTGTTCTCTCTTTGGGGAGAGCATGGCATTCGCCAATAGCACTGAAAAAAAGGAGTAATGTCTTGCAATTTATCTTACTAGAGAAATTTACAAACTCAACTCTCCAGTTTCATGAAATCGGATCTTGATCCAATAACAGATTTATAACATTCGAAAAATTATAAACTTTGCAATCTGGTGTCGGGAGCCTGAAACATGAGCCCAGCATCAATTTGGTGTCCGGAGCCCAAAACATGAACCCAGCATCAAGAGCTTACTGCTGTATGCTCGGTGAGTTGCAACCATGTCTATAAGTAGGCCGATGAAGTTACAGATGACTTGGCGAAGAGGGTTGTATCTATGGAGTCATCAATTGTTTCTTCTCATTTGCTGTAATTTTGTGATGTAACTACCTCTTGATCTAATAAAATTAAATACTCTTGTCAAAAAGAAAGAAAGAGTTTACTCATTTATTTTAGAGAGAGACTAATATTATAGTAATGATCATATAATCATATTTATAATTACTAATGATTATTAACATTGTTAGAATCTCAAAATTAAAAACTAAAAAAAAATAAAATTATAATAATATAAAACATGCACATAAATTTGGAATATTCATGGGGGTAGTTAGGAATATACTTTGTTATTGGTTTTTTGCGAAGTTAAAAAGAAAAAGGGAGGTGAGAAAGAAAGGCAGTTGTTTTGGTGGGGGGGGGGGGGGGGGGGGCTAAAATTCTTTTGATTTATCTATTATGTGATTTTTTTTTGCTTAAAACAATGGCAAGGCAATCGAAATCCAACAAAGTAATCTGTGTTTACACCTCTCTCTAAAAAATGAGTATGAAATCTCTCTCCTCCCCTAAAGACCTCTCTGATAAATGATGAAGACCTCTCTAAAAAATGAGTATGAAATCTCTCTCCTCCTCTAAAGATGGGGAATATGATTTAGAGTCACCTACCATGAAATCTCTATAACATCACAGCCCTTTCCTATTCTTGCCATATCTGTCTACCCTTCAACTCTGAATTAATAATGTACTTCTAACTCTAAATTAATAATATAATGAGTAATGATTTCATGCAACGGTTGTATAATAATATAATACGATAATTTTAAAAAATCATCGGCCATTTGTTTGATCTAAATTTCAAAATACAGACTCTTTTTATTCTAATGAACAACAAAAAAAAAAAATTTAAAAGAGAAAGTATTTTTTTAACCCAATTAATATAAGCCATCTATTTTGCTGAGATACTTAGATCTAAGCTTTAAAATGATATTTTTTCTTTCCAAAATTTTTAGATAATTTTATTATCATTAGATTAACAAAATTAAAAAGAAAAAATTGATTTTGAATTCATAAAAGCTTAGATCTTGAAATTCATCAAATGGACGGTCTAGATTTATTGTTGGAGACGATTCATTTTGGCTGTAAATTAGTTTTTTTTTTAGATTGATTATTGAGATGAAAAGAGTGTGCATACAAATACCATAAACATAGTTTTTTAGAAATGTAGTTGCATTATACTATAATACAACCGTTGCATGAGATCACCGCCTGTATGTAGTATAGTATAAATAAAATAAATACATGAAATACAATTTTTTTTGAGTGGGGTACCACTGGTTGTGCAACTGGTAGTATCTCATTCCTCCCCCGCCTCTTCTGTATTTAAACTGAGAGGTCTCTCTCTCTCTCTTCATCCAAATCTCAATCATGGAGCCACAAAAACTAGCCGGCCATCGGTCACCCTGGTACACTGAACCCCAAATCCTGGCCCATAACAAACCTAGGAAGCCTCATATGCTCAGCAATTTCATCCAACACACTGTAAATCTCAACAGACCGAGGGTGCGACATATCCTCCACCATGAACTTGTGAACCCCACCATCCACTTCGATCGAGCTATGCCCTGCCACCTTTTGAATCCCATTCTTTCTCATCTTCATTCTCACTCTAGCGACCCCATCCCACCTATCTCTAGCAGCATATATATTTGACATGATCACATAGTTCCCTGGATTGTTTGGCTCGAGCTCGAACAAGAAATCGACAGCTTTCTCCGCAAATTCGATATTACAATGAAAACTACAAGCCCCAAGAAGAGCTCCCCATATGACTGAATCGGGCATCACGGGCATGCTTGTTATGAGCATGTATGCCTCTGTTAACTGACCAGCTCTTCCTAGAAGATCTACCATGCATCCATAGTGTTGCAATTTGGGGATTATGCCATAGATCGAGTTCATTGAATTGAAGTAATTCCGTCCATGGTTCATGAGTCCTCCATGGCTACACGCACTTAAAACACCAACAAATGTTATGTCATCTGGTTTTAAGCTACCAGTGATCATTTGATTGAAGAGGTTGAGTGCGTCCCTCCATTGACCATGCACAGCAAGGCCTATGATAATGGTGTTCCATGAACATAGGTTTCTTTCAGGTATTTCATCAAAGAGTTTCCATGCCTTGTCTATGCAACCACATCGGGCATACATCTCCATTAAAGCATTGTCAACAAAAATTGAGGCGTACCCATTTTCTCTCACATAGGAATGTATCTCTTCACCTAATCCCAAAGCCCCGAGGCTTGCACAGGCGGGGAGAATGCTTGCTAATGTTACCTCATTGGGGCTCATGCCTTTCTCTGTCATCATTCGAAAGAGGCTTATTGCTTCTAAAAACCGATCGTTTTGGACATATCCGGCAATCATGGCAGTCCATGAAACAACTGTTTTGAGCTCAATTGTATCAAACACCTTTCTTGCTCTGCACAAATCCCCAATTTTGCCATAGCCGGCAATGAGAACATTGCAGGCGACGACCTCTCTCTTTCCCATTTCATCAAACAGTTTTTCTGCATCACCCAATAGACCGGCCTTCGCATACAAGTCAACCATGGAGGTGGTCACAAAGAGATCAGAGTAAAAGCCCAATTTGACAATATGGGTGTGGAGGCTCTGACCTTCATGAATTCTACAGAGAGAAACACAGGCCTTGAGTAGGAAGGTGAAGGTATACTGATTTGCGGGGAGGCCATTACTGTGCATGTTTGAGTATAAGAACAAACTTTGTTCAAAGGGGCCATTGTTCGAGTAAGATTGGATCAGTTTGTTGTATAAGAATGGTTGGGGTTCAAGGATTTGATTGAAGAGAAGGCGAGCGTAATGAAGGTTGGGGAGTTGCAGAAGCCTGGTGATCAAGAGCTTGGTTTGATCCAGGCCATTCCTGAGTGTGTGGGCGTGGATTTGCTTTATCTGGTTCATAAGAGAGAGAAGCAATGGCGATACAGATGAGGTGCACTCATTTTAAGCGTAGTGAGACGTTTTAGAGAGAAAGAGAGAGAAAGAGCGTTAGAAATGGTTAACTCGTTGTCATCCATAGTTACCCAGCGGGAGATCATTTATCTTTGGTAGCTCACAATTAATCTTGAGCCGGAGATCATTTATATTTGGTAGCTCAGAATTAATTTTGACCATTGGATGTTAAATTATATGATTGTATTTATTTTTAAACTTCAAATTTTTTTTTTTGAATCTATTTGATTTCACATGGAATGGTTGTGTTTATCTATTGGATGTGAAATTAAATGGCTCTATTTATTTCATTGACTAAGATTAAACTTTAAAAAAAAAAAATTGAACTTTATGACACATTGAAATTATTAGATTTTACATCCATTCAGAATTGGGACTTTGTTGTATGAAAGATAAATGGTATCATAATATACAATTTTATAAATTAAATGAAGATGACCCTTGATGGTGTCTCTCTCATGAGAAGAGAGAAGGTATTGTATTTATAAAATTATGCCAAATAGTTGAAAAAAGACTTGGATGATAATGATGCCAAATGATATTATCTTCTAGTTGAGTATATTGTAAAAGGCAAGCTTTATATGCTTCTCCTATAGCATAAACTTTACAGACTTCCTTTTATCCAACCCTCTATTCTGAATGGAATTACAGTGTCACGTAGTTACACTATTTTATTTTTAATTTTTTACTATTTTGACACCAAATTTTAAACGTTCAATCCTCTACTAAACTTGTACTAGTGAAAAATATAAAAAAAATATTTTCACTAAAATAAAATCTCCAAAATACCTTTGAAAGTTTCAAAGGGTATTTTGGTTATTATATTTTATCAAAAATTTATTTTTAATATTTTTTATAGGTGTACCCCAATGAGAAGATGATACGTACCAAATTTCATATTTATGCAATTTGTATAAAAAATTAAAAATAAAATACTTTGAGACGTCGGATCTAAGATCAAATGATGAGCGACTCTTTTGATCAAAATTGGACAGTTGGATATAAGGGAAGCATAGATCTTTTATGATCTAGAGGAAGTATAGAAACCGTTCCCTATTGTAAATTACTTAACCAAAAAAAAGAGTATATTGTAAATTTACTCACTTATGTAAATTCCAAATGTTGGGGATGTAATCACTTCAAGCAATAGATTAACCTCAATTAAAAAAAAGAATAAAATATTAATTAAACCCTGATTCACCTTTGAAATGTAATGTCCTAAGATTGGATGGGCACCGTCTAAATTTTAGAAGGTAAGTTCTAAGTATCAGAAAACTCAAAATGTCAAGTTATTTATTTGTGAGAATAACCATCTAGTGATTTTAAAGGGTTTTCAAATTTTAAGATTCAAAATGTTTCCCAAATGCGTCTTTTGACTTAGGGAGTAGATGTACATGCTATGCTCTTGGCCTGGACCTTGGGGAGCCCCATTGTGGTTTTTCCTTTTAGAGCTTGAATTCCTGTTTGTGGCCAAATATTTTTCTTTAGGGAAGCTATTGCTATTTAATCTATGTTTTTGTTTCAAAACAAATATTCTAATTTTACCTCCTTTTCTTTTTTGCAGGGCCATTGTTTTGAGTGGTACTTAGGGACCACAAATAATTATCCTTCTTTTTTCTCTGTCGGTTAAAACCCTTTGGAAATTTTTTTTTTTTGGGAGACAAGTGGCCCCATTTTTCTCTCTCCTTAATTAATTAATTCACTTGGTCTTTGACACTTGGTTGTGATGTGTAAATACCATCTAATATTCATCACTTATGTGATTACTTGGAACATCAACCACATGCCCCCTCATAGCCCTTTTCCTCATAAGTACGTTTTTTTTTTCGGTTTTGAAGAGGTTTTGGAGAACCAAACATGAAAAAGGAAAGGAAAAAATTTATAGAAGGTCTCAACCTTGTACTGTGTGGCTAGGGTGCACGTAAAAACCCATTATTGAAGATTGTTCTTACGTTAGAAAACTCTCAAATCGATCATCTCGATCTTAAGCTTCATAGACACAAAAACTTTCGATGGAGGGTCCTAGGAGTTACAAGAGCGGAAAAATAGAATTTTTAATATGGTTTGGATTCGGTTCAGGGTAGCTTGGGGTCTCTAAAGTTACTGTTTTTTTAAAGAGCATCTTATGAGACCCTCCCACACACATGTATGTAAGACCCTAAAGGATCACCATTAAATTTGACATAGATCTCTAAAAAAGTCAAGTCCCATATCCATATGATAACTTTTCTAGATGTCTGTATCAAATTTAATGGTGATCATTTGAGGTCTTACACACATGTGTGTGGGAGGGTCTCATAGGATCATTACTCTTTTTAAAATTTGGAAATTCTAATAACTCATCGCTTCAACCAAATGTGAGATGGGTCCCAACGATAGAAGAAAGTTTTAAGATCAATTTTGATGATTCATCCTTGTGAAACCTAGGGAATGCAGAGTTGGTGGGGTATGTAGGGATAGTATGGGATCCATCTTATTTTGCATTGTTGGCCCATGTGGAGTGATGACAGCAAATCATGCTCAACTTGCGGCTTTGTTGCAAGGAATTTTGATTTGGAGAGAGAGAAGTTTGGAAAATACTGATACTTGAAAGTGATTATCTTAATATAAGAACACCAATGTATATAAATATATCGGAACACACCTGTGCATGCACATACACATATATATGGAAAAACGTTTCTATAAGGTTGCAACCTTAAATGTAGAATGAAAGATACACTTAAAAAATCTATCGGAAAAGGTTGTTTTAATGTTGAAAAACCCTCTAATTGATCATCTTGGTATCAAGATGTATGAATATGAAAAGAAGAAGAAGATTTTGAGTCCCAAAAATAGTGCATATTGCAACAGATTATACAGACCGTCTATTTTCCATATTCTAGTTGATTTTTACTATTTTGGAGTTTAAAATTTTATAATTATAGATAAAAATAGATTTTCAGATAATTCTAAAAAATTTTACACCAAAATTATATGTTATTATAAAATTTGGAGGTGCGCCTTAATTAATTGTTTAAGGTTGTGAAGAGAAAGATTTGAAAAATAGGAACGATTATTAAGATTAAAAAAGAGTAAGAATGCATGGAAGTAGGGAGAAAATTAGAATAATCAAAAGGCACTAACCTACAATTATATAAAAAAGTAGAGTCTGACACATACTATCAACATTAAAAATACACACGTCAAACAATTATCATGATTTATTTATTTAATAATGAAAACACACAAAATAAGAAGAAAACAATAAACAGATTCAAATGAATAAGTTTTTCTCATAATATAAATTAAATATAAGAAAAATATAATTAAATATTAGAGTAACATAAAAATATTATTTAAAACATAAAAATTCTATAAAACATATTGAATGTGAGCGTCTATGCTAGTGCCGCTTGATTGACACTGAAAATAAAATAGAAGATTATCCAACAAAAATAAAATCAACCACGTTGAAAAAATGAAAAATCTAACAATAACACATGAAAAAACTTTTTTTAAAATTGAAAATATAGAATATTAATGATTTCAAATATAGGAAAGAAATTTACATAAGATGGAAAGCGATAAATTTATCATACATTCAACCTCTTACTAAACAGAAAAACATTTTAATTGAAAATTGAAAACATAATATAGTATAATATGTGTAAACTGAAATAGGAAAAAAAAAAAAAAAAAACTACATGTGGACCTCAAGATAAATCCATGAAATAAAATCTCAAAAATTGAAAAAATACAAAAAAAGGAAAAAAATTATTCTAGATAGCAATTTGAATATAATGCAAAAGTTTAATTTAAAATTTTAAAATTCAAAAAACAAAGACATGCTAACATTGAAACTATAAGCATAATTCTTAACTGATAACTTCATGTTTTATTGAATCATATAGTTAACGAGCAAAATATTTCTACACAATGAAAATCAACCACTCCAACACTGCAAAATAAAATAATAATAACAATAACGATAACAATAACAATAATAATAATAATAAATTTATTCCAATACTAATAAATAAACCAAGAATCGTGGAAGTTCAATGCTAAAAAGAAAAGACTGACCTCTTATTGAATATGAATGTGCCTTATATGAGTATAACTTTTTATCTAAAAGAACGTGCACATGACGTCAATCACGTAAAGATAGATGAATTTATCAACTAAAAATGTTCGTTTGTTAAAATTTTCATTAAAATTCTAGAGAACCTCAAAGTTAAGGAAATAAATGGATTCAATAGAGATTTAATGAAACAAAAAGGACTAAATAGAAATATTTAGAGAAAAAATAAAGATAAAAGAATAATTTGCATGTAAATCCGCTGAGAAGGAGAACAGAGAGTAAATATAAGAGGTGAGGGAAAATAAATACGGTTATTTATAACTATTTAGAGAGAGAGAGAAAGAGTTTGTTGAGAGAAGAGACAAAAATAAATAATTTGAGAGAAGAGATAAAAATAAATAATTTGCATGTAAACCTGTTGTGTATGTGTGTGAGAGAGATAGAGAGAGGGAGAGATAATTCAATGAAAGAGAGAGAATATGAATAAAGGGTACGGTTTGTATAATTTTGATGCTTTAAACAATCAAAGTACAGACACACCTTTAAATAATGTTGAAAGATGTTTTGGTTTCAAAAATCTTTATGATGGCCTCAAAATTTATTGTTATTTCTAATTATAAATTTTAAAGTTTAAAAAATAGTGTAAATAAGTAGATCTATGAACACTGTTCATCTTGAAAATTGGTAGCCTAATAATGCATTACAAGTTGCAGTATTTCCAAGACTTGAAGTCTATTTTTTTTACATTCATATATCTCAAGGTTGAGATGATCAGATTCGAGAGTTTTTCAACATCGAAACAACTTCTTCTTGTGAATTCTTACGGCCTTATATACAAATTTTCTATGAATAAATAGTGATAAATATAGTAGATAGTGGCGAAATTACCTTGCTGAAAAATAGGAATAAAAAATTATTAAAGGATAAAATTAGAAAGTAAAAATGACAATTGGTAAAAAAAAATAAAAGGGGACCTCCTCTTGTATATAACGGTGTGGTTTGTATAAAGCTAAGGCTCTA